AATTATGTCGACAGCAAACATAGAGCTTGCAAACGGATGACTACATATTGCTGTGTCCGAGCCACAAGGTTTGTGGCAGCGTCCGTTGTCCGTGAACCTTAGGCATCTGATGCTGATTTTGACAACTGAACGAAGATTGTCTGGACGACGGAAAATCGATAAGAAGAAAACAACAACAGCTGACAGAGACTCTCTGGCAAGCTGTCATCGTAGACAGACGCGAGAATTGTAAATCAGAGAATTATTCTTGTTTAAAGCTTGAGTGAGCTGCGCTGTAAATAGTAAAGCTTGTTATTCTTACGCGAGTGTTTTTATTTACCTGAGTGCAAGCGCGAGTGCGAGAGTGAGCGCAACAATATTTATCTATAATTACAAATTGGATCGGTTCTTGTGATTGAATAAAATTTATTTTATATTTTGAACATTAATTAATACACTGTGAAAATTTCAATTCCATTGATCTTACCGTTTCTGTTAAAAAAGATTCGTAAAAGTAGCCTTGAAAACGGCCTTCCGCCCCTTAATCAGATTCCCCCCTTAATCAGATCAAATTGATTAGAAAAGTCATGTACTATTTTGCCAAAATCGCGATAGTTATTAAGTTATTGATAATTGAAAATGATCATATCCAACAGTTCTTTTAATTAATAACTTGAAAATTTGCGTAAATTTGCAAAATGATAAAGGATTTTTTTATTCAGAATGATTTAATCTACAATTATATTACGGCTATTGTGTCTAACGATAGATATGAATATATTGAATATTGAACCCTGAATATCTTGAACTTGTCTCTAGACACAATAGTCTAGCACACAATGCTATAAGATAGCACACAATGTGTGTATGAAAAACATACAAATATATATATATATATATATATAAATAAACAGAAAAATATATAAAAACCGCATAGAAATGAGACTTCGCGACTCGTCACTTTCGGGGTATTTATTGATGACTCCCAACTCATCCTAATGTACTTTAATGAAAAAAAAAGAGAACGAGAGAGAGAATTATTTTAGAAGATTTCGAGAAAACAAATCCATGAAGGACGCGGTGCTAGCTTCAGATCAAGTATCAAATATGCACTTATATACATACGTGCGTGTATTCATACACATACACACTACATATTACATACACAGACATATACACACACATACAGTAATATATACGACACACACATTTACAGTCTGTAAAGTAAGAGCGTGTACGGGTTAATGTGTAGAAAAATTTACTTTTAATGATTTTTAAGTATATGGATTTATTATACTCCATGAGAAGAAAAACTCTATACCATTAATAATGAGTCCAGTCATCACCGGCATTGATAATCGCCTGGCATCTGCCGAGGCATACTTTCCACTAAGTTGACTGCGTATTCGTTCGGTAAAGACCTCCAAATGAGACGAATTTGTCGTATCAGCTGCTCGAAAGTGCACATTCTTTTTCCTCGAAGCTTGTGCTTGAGATATGCCTCACAATACGGCTCACAAAAAAACTAGGACGATATTTGAAGCCAATGCCATTTATGCCGTACACGCTCTTACTTTACAGACTGTATATACGATACAAACATTTAAAGAAACGTTAAAAAATTGCGAAATTAAACAATGAAACTTCTTGTCATTATCACTAACACATCTTTGTCCCATATTTCTCCCCTGAAATTCTCATTTATTTCGTGAATAGACAGCTATCGGCAGCTGGAATCAATAGATTCGTGAAATAGAAAGTTTATTTAGATATGTAAAATCGACAAAACCGTGGCTACTTGTAACCATTTTTTATTTGTACAACTTAAATTTACTTATATTTGATTTTTTTTTTATACAGAAGAGTAGTCGCCGAATTTCCGTTATTCTAATGCTTACACATTCTACATAAGTATTCTTTTTGTCAGGAAAGGATATCATTGATATGTGAAAAGTCGGTACTCAAATATTCGCATATGGAAGAGTTACACCGCTTCGAAGTTAGTCTGATCGATGTTTCACATAGATATTAAAGAGATCGTTCGGGATATCGGCCGTTTTTCTATAGTTACTCAGGATTTCACTATTTTCAAGTTAATGACGAATGTTGCGGAAAAACCTTTTTGGCCCATGTCCGCACATTAACATTGCTCGATCCGCAGCGCGACGTGATCGCGCAGCTCTTGCTGTGTCAACCTTGTGCGACCGTGTGCATTCACGATCACTTATGTTGTCTTACCAGTTAAGTCGACCAACGTAACAACATGTCATTGGTTTCCTGCCACGCTTTCTTCCCGTCAGCCATTTCACCGTCGATATATACCACTATCCGAAAGTTCACGTGCAATAGAGCAAACGAGCGTTCACGACATTCGTGCATGCGATCGCGTGCGCGCGCTCTTACGTCCATTCGTCCGTCCGTTCGTTCATGCGACCGCACGTGTCGCCGTGCCGAGGAATGTCAAAGATAGTGAAACCTCTGCGATGTCATAAAAAAAGGAAAGAGGTCAGAAAAAAAGAGAAAAAAGCGACGCGTATATTTATTTCGCTTCGTATATTTATTTCATCGTGTAATCAATCGATGACGTCATCGGGCGTATAAATAGAATAACGAGAGACCTGTAATTAACCCGACGGTATTAAGCTTACTAAAGTTGCATCTAGACAACGATCTTTTTTCAGATCATTCTCCGGAGAGGATTTTTAACGATCTTTACGACTGTTGCAAGAAATCATTATGAGCGATTTTAGCTCCTCGCTGATTTTTCTTCTAGAAAAAAAAAATTATAATCCTTTCATCCGTCATTTATAGTGTCCGAAGTTTGCGAGGAATTTTCCGCACATGTCGATGATGTTTTCTCCGCAAACTCGCAAGAGACCGCGCGAGAGAGAACCGACTTGCATCGAGTCTCGAGACGACGGAGATTTCTCGGACTCGCTCGATCATTTCATCTACTTTCATTCAACTTGCTGCTTTGGTGCGTGCGCGCGCTTTTCGCTCACGGAAATAAAGCCATTTAGCTGACACTCCACATGTCCCGCGCTAAATTAGCACAAATATAAGGAAGTGCGAAATGTGAGAATGCAGTCGAAGTCGAAGCGTTTGGCAGCGCATTTTGCTTCGTTCGCATATCAAATTGTTTCGGCAACTCGCGTCGTAATCTATGAAATTTTAACTGCAGTGAATTGTGAAATTTTAACTGCTGAGGAGCAACGTGATCCCGTCACCTCTAATAGCTGACGCAAACAGTCGCGGTGATATTGAAACCGATGGAACCAATAACTCCGTGCCGGAACCGCGCGACGGGATCAAAGTCGCGGCCGTACGACCGAAAATGCGGCGAGCAAGTTCGCTCTTAGGACTCGTCTACATTAGCAGTAAGAGTAAGGCTGTAAGATTGCAAGACACGAAATGAAATATTTTCATTCGCTGACAGTTTACGTTACAGCCTTACAGCCTTACTCTTACAGCTAATGTAGACGAGCCTTTAGAGCCTTTAGAGCTTTAGCTCTTAAAGCGATGTGACTGGCTCGATTGTGCGTCAGTCTTATCCTCTGCATTCATTCGCTCCATTGTGAATTTGTCCGCTGCAATTTACTCACCTTCATTATTATCTTTGCCCCTTTTGCCGATCGGGATAACATCGAGGGACGATTGTCGACTGAATCGATTTCCAACGCGAGTCCGTCGTTAATTTCGCCCACGCGATTATCGCGCAACCGATCGGCGGTCTCGGCGACCGCGATGAAAATCAAGTGCGACTCGCCGCATGAAAGTCTCGCGGCGCAGAACAGCCGACGTAATCGACCGGCGCCGAGCCGATGTTTTTCGCTCGGCAGCGAAATAATTCGGTAATACGCTCGTATGTCGCGTGCCTCGATCACACGGCTATAATCGTCCGTACGCCGTCAATTTGGGGCGCATTCAGCGCGTGACTTTCCGCCTCCGATCGCGCTCTCCGCAAGATATGCACGCGGCTCATCGAGGATTGGCGTAATGGCAAAGATTTTCGCGGCCAAATGAAGCGAGACGGTCGTCCGTTTTCTTCTCGGTTCGTCCTGCCGCTCGCCATTAGAGAGCAGAATAGCCTGCAATAACGGCGTCCAATGTCGCCGGAGTTACGCACCGGCGTAATGCGAGCCGTTTGCTGCGTGCTCTTCTTTTCTTTTCTTTTCCGATGCTTTCACTGCCGGCTGCCGCGGCCGCCGCGCCGCGCTGCGCCGCGAAGATCGTATTCTATGCCACTAGTATGCTACCTTTCCACGGCGCGATATCGTTTCAGCCGGCTTCGTCGCCGGCTAAAATTGAAAAGGCAAGGTCTAACGAGACTCGACGGTCACTGAGAAAATTCCGCGGTGAAAGTGTTCTGCCGCGGAGGGTGTTTCGTAATGCTTTTACTCGCTTTTATTCGCCTCCGACGGGATTCCGTTTTTGATCCGGCCGGTTTCACTCGTGCGCCTAGCCTCTGTTCGCGTTTAATTAACGGCGCATACAGATACGATCGGCGTCGCTCTGTGCAACCGGGGAGAGCCCGGGGTCTGTAATTACCGGACGCGAGAAGACCAAATCCAAAACGATCGAAGCTCAACCTTGCGCACGCAGGCCGCACGCGGCCGAGCTGCGAAACCGCCGATAGCGTGGTGCGTTCGTTTAGGTGCCGTTGCTATCGTTAAAAAAATCGCGAAGAAAGCGAAAGCGCGCTCGTGATCGCGAGCGGCTCGTTAAATCTGCATTAGGCAAAAAGCGACGGAGGAAAGGGAATTTTCCAACTCTATTTTCATTTCCCCTCTCGACGAGACGCGCGAGTCTCGCGGCGTAGTGAAATCGCGGAGGCAGGTGAGAACGTCTCGTTACGTGAAACGCGACACTTTCCTTCGGGAAATACCGACTCAATGCGCCGATCGGTTGCACGCACGGGCGAGTCATTCCGCGAATTCCGACCGAGGAAATGACGTGCCCGAGCGATTTCCAACGACGAATTCGGATTCTCGCCGACGCCGCCGAGGGCCGGCGAGGCTTACCTTTCGAATTTGCCTCGTTTGTTACACGTCGACGAGAGCCACTAATTCATCATAGATCGTCGACAACCGTCTGCATCCGAGCCTGAAGTCGCGGCTGATCCTCCTCGTGGTCCTCGCTCCTCGATTTTGCGAGCCTCGGCGACGCGCCGACCGTCACAGGAAGTGTAATCGAAGCTTCCCCGTTGGTTGAGCAACGAGCTTAACGAGAGGTAGAACTTCAAACGACGATCTGCGGGACGTCTTGCGATACAGCAGCCGCCGATTTTCTCGCTGAGAGAGCGGTGAGAGCGAGACGAGAGGTGTGATCACCCCGAGCTGCACTGACCGGTATTCGAGTACTCGAGAAGAAGAGGAAGAGGAGGGAAAAGACGCAATATTCTCTCCTGCGATAGTCTACGAAATTTACTTCGCAGCTGACCGATCTTGCGTGATACGTCGTTTTCTATGGACTGGACAATCAGTCGCTTCGCTTTAGAGTATACCGGTGCTTTCCACCTGCGTCGTCCGCCGAACAGGTGCTCGAAGTGGGGTGCAAACGGGCGAGTTTGGAGCACCACTGTTGCAAGCACGACCCACGGCCGACGATGGTGGAGGGGTTATCCCCATCGCCTAGATGACCAGAGGGACCCCCGGTGGACTTTTACCGGTCCAGCCTTGCCTACTCTCCTTTTCCCTCTTCCACACCGCGAAAAATCGGCGCGTCTACTGCCGGGCTATTACGTCACTTGTCGAAGAAAGTTGTATTGTGTAATAAACTGTCTGACAACCGTTCTATACCATTGTGCGGCGTTGGGCATTAATCAATCGGGATTTCGAGATAATTAGAGTTATATCTTTGGATTACACACGATGATCGCTTCGACGTGTCTGACTGATTGTATGCTGATTAACGCAATTAAAGTCACTCTAATCGATTAAATTATTCATATTACATATATGACCATTTGTTAATTTTGACGGTCAATTGTTTTGGCCGACTGAGACTTGTGCGCTAGAATTAACACATCGATCAATAAGTCCCGGGACTAACCAACAAATGGCGCCTCTAATAACAAATCCATACCATTCTCAGTTACCAGTACCAACCTTTAGAAGAAAACTTTTCGTAAGAAAACTGTAAGTCACCAGGTTTCACGAAAATAAGTTGTTTTTTTATTTTCGTGTTCACCATATTGGATTCGCAATTTTGAATTTTTGTATTCTTTTAATTTCACATTTTGCATCTGAGAAAGCTTCCAAATGTATAAAATTATAACAGATACCAATCTATTAATTTATAGTGCACTTCTAGATGTCAGTAACAATGCTAACTATGCCTACTTGGAATTTGACAAAACATGATATCCTTAAAATTGAGCTAAAAACAAACTAAACCGAATTTGCATACAATTTATATACCATATTTTAGAAAAATTTCACCTTTACAGTGGTACAAAGAAAACGAAAATATTTCCTTTTTGACTAACAAGGAGAGTGTCACAACTATCCCTCACTGATTTGAATGGGCTTCGGATATGTTGTAGAGCATCAAAAACTAAGGGATACATATTTTTTTATATCGGCTTCGGAGCATGTTTAAGGGGTGAAACCACCCCTTGAAAAAAATAGCCGTTATCATATTTATCAAATATTTTCTAAATTATTATATGAGTCATATGAAAAAAGTTTCAGACAAAAGTTTTGCAATATTTTATACTCTTTGCAACTATATGTTCAGTTTTTTTTAAGTTTCAAATATTGAACTACTCCCCCCCCCCTCTTGTTACTCTGGCAAAATTTTTAAGTTTTTGTAGGGACAAAAATTGTAGAGCATTAAATATCAAATCCATCCATATATAATATTAGAAAATGGTATTTAATATTTTGGACAAAACGCAATGAGAAACCTTCATGGTATATAGGGTGTCCCATTTAACCTGACAAATCGTAATATCTGCAAAACTATAATACATGTCGGATCAAAAAAAGTGGGTAATGAAATTTGTTTATCTCGAAGGGGGACATCCAATGATATCAAACTCGATCTCCCACCCCACTCCCGGGGGGTGGGGGTGGGGGACAACTTTGAAATCTTAAATGGGAACCCCCATCTTTTATTACAGATTCAGATTCTACGCCACAAAATACGTAAGTTTCGTCGAAACTTTTTTTTTATTCGTGATAGATGGCGCTGTAATCGCAAAAAATTAGATTTTCTGCAATTCTCCAGAAATGATCATTGGATTGAAAAATAAAAAAAATATCTGTTCAATATTTTTAAAAATATTTTTAAAAAACATAATAACAGTTATTCCCCCCATCCCCTCGGGGTAGGGTGGGTAGTAACGTTCAAATCTCAAATGAGAACCCACACTTTTCATTGCAGAATTAGATTTTACGTGAAGCTTTTATGGAAACAATTTTTTTCATTCGTGATAGATAGCGTTGAATTTTTCCGAGAAACTACTTTTAGCGTTACCCAGGAACAACGACGAGGACGTAGTAGCTTTCTGTTCCCTTAAGGGTGCTTGTTTTAGGTGAAGACTCTTCAGAAATTGATTAAGCACCTCTCCTGATTAGAAAGGTAAGTGTCTAATAATGATCGTCTCTTAAGTTGTATGGGCGCGGACGATGGAGAGATGCCACTAACAAATTAATTATGCAAAATCACCCCGATGGTGAGAGGCGACGGGACTCACCTAAAACAAGCACCCCGAAGGGAACAGAAAGCTACTACGTTCTCGTCGTTGTTCCTGGTAACGCTAAAAGTAGTTTTTCGGAAAAATTCAACGCTATCTATCACGAATGAAAAAAATTGTTTCCATAAAAGCTTCACGTAAAATCTAATTCTGCAATGAAAAGTGTGGGTTCTCATTTGAGATTTGAACGTTACTACCCATCCTACCCCGAGGGGATGGGAGGGAATAACTGTTATTATGTTTTTTAAAAATATTTTTAAAAATATTGAACAGGTATTTTTTTATTTTTCAATCCAATGATCATTTCTGGAGAATTGCAGAAAATCTAATTTTTTGCGATTACAGCGCCATCTATCACGAATAAAAAAAAAAGTTTCGGACGAAACTTACGTATTTTGTGGCGTAGAATCCGAATCTGTAATAAAAGATGGGGATTCCCATTTAAGATTTCAAAGTTGCCCCCCACCCCCACCCCCCGGGAGTGGGGTGGGAGGTCGAGTTTGATATCCCCCTCGTCTCGAAGGGGGACATTGGATGTCCCCCTTCGAAACGAACAAATTTCATTACCCACTTTTTTTGATCCGACATGTAGTTTTCCAGATATTACGATTTGTCAGGTTAAACACCCTGTATGTGCCGCTCTGGCCGAGTAGATAGATACTGTAGGTAGGTACACTATGATATTTCTCTGCAATTGCACTATGCTTCACGACTGCTTGTGCATATTTTCTTATGCTATAATTAATCGTAATGATATGATATTAGTCTCACGATGTTCGATTGTGTGAATGATTTTCTATATGTTAACTTATGAAATTGTGCTCATGAACTTGTGAAATGAAATTGTGCACGGAGCTTTGCATGGCAACCTTCATGATTTCGACAAAAACAATAACACTAACAATTCAAAATCATGAACGTTGTCATATAATGTTCCATATGCAACTTCATAAAAGTTAGCGTATAGAAAATTATTAACACAATCGTGAGACCAGTCCTTTACACAAAATAAACATGTGAACAGAGATAAATCGCATATATAACAACGTAGCAAATGCGCATGGGGCGCGCTATTTGTACAGAAATTTCAAATGTATATTTTCTGAATTATCTATCCATCATCAAAATACTCGATAGATTGTAATATACCATCCTGTTTACAAACAGAGTTTTCAAGATATATTTTAAGTCTTTCTGCCGTCTGGTACTCGTCATTCGTCCTTGATTTTTGAACGTGGATGCACGCCAATAATATTCAATGTTTATTATATCTCTTATCGCATGCCAATAACGGTTATTGTTTATTATTGAACCGTGCTCGATTTCATTGTGATTGTCTGTGTTTGATTCAGTTAGTGAACGATTATTTTGTTAAAGTTGTTTTTCTTGGCGAATTTGCGTTGCTCCTTATTTTTGTTTGACCTACAGGTGAATCATGTTTGTTATCGAGGCCATTGAGCGCTGTAGGATTTTGACTTTTCACACATAATACTTGTAAATAGCGGGGCTTCGGCGTTTACTGTTGGCGAGTAACGTTTATCTAGTCATGAAAACATTCAACTTTCGTTGACCGGATTCGCTGACGGAATATTTTATAAATAAATCCTTCATTGTTACAAATAAGGACTCTACACAGACAAGTTCCGAATAACACAAACTTACATATATGCACGATACAATTATAAAATATGTTATCTCCGCGATTCCCGAATGAACTATCACACAAATGTCATGAATTATAATTTTTATATTTTACTATTGAAAAAAGTCCAAAAGTCGTTACGACTGGAACATACGTATGGATATTTGTAGATTTTAACTATGGTTATTAAAAATAAATAATTGACGCACGATTAACAGCGTACTAGCTCAATTGTCTTTTTATTCTTGTTTGTTTCCTGAATCACATATTTGTGAAATTTATATTTATACTGCAATTTTACAGAAAAGTCCAAGTGAATAAAAAAAGAGCAAGCGCGTTATGCATGAAGTGCATTGAATATCTTAATAATATAACACAAAATTAAAAAAATATTAACTAGATATACTAATATGTTTATTGTAAGACATTATTATGTATGTGTGTGAATGAATTTTATATTATCGCTTAAATGTTATCAAATATGATTTCACCTATTTAGCGCATAATATAATTTAATAATTTAATAATATAATTTAAGATTGACAATTACAGTCTGTAAAATAAGAGCGTGTACGGCATAAATGGCAGTTGGCTTTAAATATCGTCCTAGTTTTTTTGTGAGCCGATAGATGAAATTTTTGTCGTGAATGCTTTGTCACAAAAGATTCAGTTAGCGTCGAACTCTAACCTGAGAAACACGTTAACCGCTATGAGTGCCGCATATACATCGCGCTACAAGGCTGTGTTCCTTTATTCCCACCCCAAAGGACCAAAAATGTCATATGCAGTGGCTGCTAAATACATGGGAAAGTCAAAATCGTTCATCGCTAAGTGGGTTCAGCAATATAAGAAGATCAAAAATGTCGATGACTTGCCAGAATGTGGCTCGATAGGCAAAGTGACGCCGAAAATGGAAAAAAAAATTGTGAATTTATTTAAGCGGAACCCGATCTTAACATTGAGACAAGGAGCAATATTAAAACAGAAGAGTATAGAAGTATCACATACAACTATTCGAACCCATCTCCTTGCGCATAACCTCAAATATCGAAGCACAATGAAGAAACCACTGTTAGGCGAAAAACATGTGACGAAAAGACTCGCTTGGGCAAAGGAGAATTTGGACCGAGATTGGAGCAACGTGATCTTTACGGACGAAGCTTCTGTTTGGGGATATACTGCCATCCGACGTTCCTGGTCAACCTTGACCAATAGATTAATACAACGGACTGTTAAATACCCTGTAAAAGTTCATCTTTGGGGCTGCTTTTCGAAACAGGGTTTTGAAGCATTACATCTGTTTACATACAATTTAAATGCTCCGAAAATGCTTAAAATTTATGAGAAGTGTTTGTTGCCGACTGCAGAACGATGCTTCATAAAAAAAAACGAGGACTGGATCTTACAGGAAGACAACGACCCAAAACACCGGAGCAAGCTTTGCACCGAGTGGAAAGAGCAGTCTGGCATCGTCACACTTGATTGGCCATCGCAGTCGCCAGATGCAAATCCCATTGAAAATGTGTGGGCATA